AAATAGCAATCATTGGTAATTTCAAATGCCAACTTCCCTGCTAAAACATAAAGTTCTGCCTCACTGCTGTACCAGACTGTATCACCCACCCCCTTCTCCAAGAAATCTAAGGACATTTGGTGAGAAGAGATGACCAAATGCCATAGCATCTGCAGCACTGGACTCAGCTAATAATAATAATAATGGCTCATCTTTGATTAGCATTTTACAGTTTCCAGTGTGTTTTCACGTTCAGCATCTCATTTCATCCCCAGGAGCTGGGTAGGATCTGTACTGTTACATCCAGTTTGTAGATAAGGCAATCTCAGAGAGATTGAGTGACTGACTTACCCAAGGTCAATGGCTAAAAGTGATAGGATAGAGCTGGCATTCAGATCTAGGTCTTTTTGATGCTGAACTTTTGTAGGGACCTTTCCTCTGGTTAGTCTTTTGGACCAGGGTACAGAGTAAGAAAAATAAGAAAGATGCAAATTTGATTCCGTTTGGAGGGATGGGAGACTGAGTAGGGGATGTCAATGGAGGATTCCTCTGCTGCAGGACTTGGGTATACATGAGAGAGAAGACAGAAAGATCTTTTCAACCTTCATTCTGCCCTTTTTTTGGTTTTCTTTCCCAATTTCCTTTTTCCTAACTGTGTTTCTTTCTCAAATTCTCTTCTCTGGTGCAACCTTCTCAAATATAATACCAAACACTTTCCATGGGCAGGCCCCACTCAAGAATCAGTCCTAAAAGGAATCCTGGAGGGGTAGGGGAACAGAGTCGGGGGCACATAGGGTTGGGAAGGGGGTTCAGAATGGGGATGGTGGAAGAAAGAGAAAAGAGAAAGAAATTGGAATCGTGAGCTGGCTCTGACACCAGAGATTAACTATAACCTAAAACGTTAGATTACTATATACATTTTTAAAGAGAACTAATGCCTTCAAGGCAGTGTGACCTTGAACTGCAGACTCAAGAGTGGGGACACTCAAAGATTGGGAAGGCCAAACCTACCAACTGAGAGGTTTTGTTATTTACTTTACTACGTATAACTGGAGACTGCTCAGGCACCATAAAACATTATATCTATATATAGCACTCATTTTAGATAAATTTGGAGTAAGCACATATTCAGCTTGTTGAAAATTAATGTTCTTAAGACTCTGATCTGCACTGGGAAATACAGAAAGAAACGGAGAACCAAGAAGTGTTAGAGCCTGGAAGAAGTCCTTACTATTTCTTCCCTCTGATATGACCATTACCTGGGCAGCTCTGACATCATCTTGGAGATCTGTTTAAGGCACGAAGGGTCCTTTTTGAATTATTTGTACCCAGAATTAGATTGCATCTAATTTCATGGTAGTGAGAAATTTAGAAATAACTAATCCAGATACTCTTGGGCTGTTGTGACAGTAAAAGTAATCTAATTTTTTTTTTTTTTAAAGATTTTATTTATTCAGTTTTTTCCCCCCAAAGCCCCAGTAGATAGTTGTATGTCATAGGTTCACATCCTTCTAGTTGCTGTACGTGGGACTCGGCCTCAC